AAGGCTAGAACGTCTAGTGAGGATCAAATCAAGCTGATGCCAATGCTTGGATCTTGGATTTCTCCAGGAAACTGTTGAAGCCTCGTATTAAAGAACGTGTTGCTGACACAAAAGATCATAATAACAGCAAAACTCCAGCAAGCGTTGGTCATTTTCGTTCATCTTCCCAATACCAAAACAGTCTAGACAAGTGGGCCAAGAATTGTGATCAGCACCAACTCAAGCGTTAATGTTTCCGAGAATGAACAGTGGCGCTGTCTCAGGAACTTTTTTGATAGTAGCTGCCAGTTCGTAGAATTTGTCTTTCACTTCTGTTGTGGACGAGTGTTGATGCATATGTACTAATGAGGGTGACTGGTCCCACTGATGAGTGGAGCTGCAGAGACAGGATTATTTCACTCCCCACAGTAGGTGGAACAATGGATCTCAGCAGAGTATTTCTGACTGCAAAGCCAACACCATATTCCCTGGTCTCATTCGATGGTTTTCCCTGCCAGAAGAATGAGAATTTTTTTTTTCTTTGATAAATCCCATGTCTGGCAATCTCGTCTCTTGCAGGGCAAGAATGCCCATCTGCAGTCTACTCAGTTCCATGACGATGACAGCTGTCTTGCACACGTCTATTTCCTACAGGTCGTCAGAAAAGGCGTCACCAGAAAATCCAGGTGTCATTGTCCGAACATTCCAGGTGCCCAACCTTAGGGCAGAAGTTTTCTTACGATTGTTGTATGATCTAGAGTTATCGATCTGCTTGTCAGGTTTCACTCTAAACCCCACGCACCCTGTGAGGTTAACAGACCGTGGTTAGGTAGCACCTTACTAGCTGTGGACTGCCCAGCTTAAGGTGAGCAGTAGCTACCTAGTGAGATGCAGTGGCCTCTCCCACTGTTAGAAGTAGACCCTGGCATCATGCTGTATGCCAATCGAGCAAAGACTTATAACCGGTAACTGCTACTTCCCTATATATGATACTGTACAATTAAATTAATAAAAATAATGTTGCTATTTCTGTTATTTTTTATATTTCTCTAAGAGCTCATAGTGTCATACATGTCTCTTCTTCATGCTTTGTTCTCAACAAAAACCATCCTAGGAAGAAAATCAAGCTGAGAGAATGATTGGCTGAATGTCATATGTGCTCTAGAGGTGACTAGAATTTGAATTTCTTAAATTCCAGTTCAAAATTTCTGCAACACATTCCTGTATTCCAGATTTTGTACTCTTGTGAAAGTAAATAATGGCTAGATTCCTCTTGGTTATCCACTTCTGAATATTTCTTACCTTGAAAAGTCTACAATGAAACAATCCAGCATTAAACAAGAGATTGCTTATTGTTTATTCCTTATTGTTTATTGTTTAATGTCTATTCCTGTATATTTTTATTTTTTTGTTATATGTATATATTATTGTATTTTATCTGTCTGGAAGCCGCCTAGAGTAGTCGTATTGACCAGATAGGCGGGGTACAAATAGAATGAATGAATGAATGAATGAATGAATGA